TAGATTAGAAAATATATGTAATCATTATACCTAAGGTAGGAGGTTGAGTGTTAGATAATCTCTGTAGGGGGTTGAGTGTTAGATAATCTCTGCACCTAGTTCTGAGGAGTAATCTAGGACTGTGCATTTAATGTAATCTCCCTATTGTATCAGTTTTTATCTATATAAATACAGAACTATGAGAGGGGTTCTTCTAGCCCTCTAAAAACACTTTTTCTCAGTTTTTGAATATCAAGTTGGTATCAGAGCGGGTCGATCCAGCTATGACTGTTTCTGTAGTATCCAGCACTGTTTTTGCCGCTGTCCGCCGCCGGCCACCGTCCGTCGCCAGCCACCGTCTCCGATCGTCCAGTTTTCGCTAGCGACCATCGGATCTGAATCGTCTCGTCGTGTGACAGCCAACCCCGTCGGTCCCGGAAGCTCGTTCTCCACCACGTGCCACCTCTTCATTTCGGTAAAGTCCAGTAGTCACCCTTGCGAAAATCACTCTTGGGCTTTCGGACTTCTTTGCTGTTTTCGCCTCCCCCCCCCCCTCTTTGTCCTCTTGATCAGAAATGGCTGCAATTTCATTCTCTGGAAGCCCCTCCATTACTTCCGAAAAACTAAACGGACAAAATTATCTATCTTGGTCTGCTACCGTCGAAATGTGGTTTCTCGGTCAAGGGCATCACGACCACCTTGAAAAAGACGGAAGCCATGTGCCGGAAGAAAATGCTGAACAGTGGAAACAGGCAGATTTTCAGCTATGTGCTCTATTGTGGCAATCAGTGGAACCAAGACTTTTGATGTCGCTTAGAGCCTTCAAAACTTGTCACTCCTTTTGGAAGAAAGCTCAAACCATTTATGCCAATGATATTCAACGTCTCTACGATTCCGCAAATAAGCTGGCATCTCTAAAAATGACAGATCATGATATGGTGTCCTTTATGAATGATGCCCAGTCGGCTGTGGAAGAACTCAAGATGTTCTTGGAAGTCGATTCCTTGGATGAAATGAAAAAGAAGCTTGACAAGTATTACATGGTGATGATCCTTCGTGCAATACATCCTGACTTTAACCATATCGAGAGATCAACTTCGGCCACTTATGAAGTCCCTTCCATGGATACCCTTATCACATGTCTGATTCGTGTACCAATGTCTAAGACTCAGGAAGCTCTGGTTCTAGTAGAACCATCTGCCATGGTTGCCACACGAGGAAGAGGAGGAGGACGTGGAGGTCGAGGACGTCCCCAATGCACCTACTGTAAGAGGATGGGTCATACACAGGAGAACTGCTACTCCTTGCATGGTTTTCCTCCCAAAACCGCCAATGTCTCAAAGGCTGAAACCGTCAACTCCAAGTTCACTGAGGACGAATACCAAGAGTATCTACGGTTAAAGTCTAATAGCTTGGCACAAACCTCTCAAACTGCCAGCACATCAACTGCTTGTATTTCTCAATCTGTGGAGGGTCAAAATTCATGGGTAATTGACTCTGGTGCTTCTGATCATATATCTGATAATACCTCTTTATTCTCAACCATTTCCTTTCAAGAAAAACAACATTTCATAACCCTTGCAGATGGCTCTAAAGCTTCCTCAAAGGGAGTGGGCCAAGTTTCTTTATCTCCCTCCATAAGCCTAAAATATGTCCTTTTTATTCCTAATTGTCCTTTCAATTTAATTTCCTTAAGTCAGTTAACCAAAACCTTAAATTGTTCAATAACCTTCGATAACAAATATTTTGTTATACAAGAGCGTGGTTCGGGGAGACAGATTAGAGAAGGATATGAAGCTGGAGGATTATACCTTTTTGGCCCTCGTCCACGTGTGTCCTGTGTTGCTACTCCGAGCCCTAAAATGTTACATGATCGGCTTGGCCATCCTCATTTGTCAAAATTAAAAAGAATGTGTCCTGAACTTAGTGGTCTCCGGACCTTAGAATGTGAGTCATGTCGGCTAGGGAAACATGTTAGATCTACCTTTCCTAAATGGTCTCAATCACAGTGTACTTCCGGTTTCTCTATTATCCATTCGATATTTGGGGACCCGAGTCGCATCTCATCTTTTGGTTTTCGGTATTTTGTTACATTCATTGATGAATATTCATGATATACTTGGGTTTATCTTATGAAAGATCGCTCTGAATTGTTACCCATCTTTACATCCTTTTTGAATGAAATCAAAAATCAATTCAATCAAGTAATCAAAATTTTAAGAAGTGACAATGCTAAAGAGTACTTCTCATCCACCTTTTCTGCTGTTTTGAGTTCACATGGAATATTGCATCAGTCCACCTGTCCTCATACACCACAACAAAATGGTATAGCGAGAAAGAAAAAATAGACATTTGGTTGAAACTGCACGTACTCTTTTGCTTGGGTGCTCATATTCCTGTCCATCAGCTGGGGATGCCATCTTAACTGCATGTTTTCTTATTAACAGGATGCCATCTTCCTCTCTCGGTAATAAGATCCCTTTCTCCATTCTATTTCCAAATAATCCTCTCTTTCACACCTCTCCTCGAGTTTTTGGTTGTGTATGTTTTGTTCATGATATGTCTCCCGGGTTAGACAAGCTTTCTGCTCGTGCTATCAAATGTGTCTTCTTGGGCTATTCTTGCCTTCAAAAAGGATATCGGTGTTACTCTCCTGAAACCAAGAAGTACTACATGTCCGCCAATGTTACATTTTTTGAACAGACTCCTTACTTTTCTCCTTACGTTCAAGATGTTCATGTCATACGACGGGTTCTTCCCATTCCGAGTAGTTGAGTCTAATATTTCCAATGTCTCTATCGATCTCCGTAGTGATCCAAGTCTTCCTGAACCATCCTCCCCTCAAATTGATGTTGTCAATCATAGGACCCCGATGGCTAGTCCTGTTCTCCAAGACGAGGGTGAATCCCCCACTTTAGATTCTTCTCCAACATCGCTTCCTACCATGACTCCTGGTGGAGGTGATTTAGGATGACCCATTGCTCTGAGGAAAGGTACTCGTTCCACTCGAAACCCACATCCTATTTATAATTTTCTTAGCCCGGTTGTCGCCTTCCTATTGTTCCCTTTTATCCTCAGTATCTTCTATTGCTATTCCGAGAAATGTGGAAGAAGCACTTGATTACCCTGGATGGCGACAAGCCATGATTGCAGAAATGCAGGCTCTTGACCATAATGCTACTTGGGAGCTCGTTCCCCTTCCACCGGGCAAAAAGGCGATCGGTTGCCGCTGGGTATATCTTTGTTAAAATCGGCCACGATGGTGCAGTTGATCGGCTCAAGGCTCGGTTAGTTGCAAAGGGTACACTCAGGTTTATGGCCTTGATTATTGTGACACTTTCTCTCCCGTGGCCAAGATGACCATTATTCGTCTGTTCTTCGCAATGGCTGCCATTCGTCACTGGCCACTTCATCAATTAGATATCAAAAATGCCTTCCTACATGGTGATCTTGAGGACGGAATTTACATGGAGCAACCTCCTGGGTTTGTTGCTCAGGGGGAGTCTGAACTAGTATGCAAATTGCATTGTTCTCTATATGGCCTCAAGCAATCACCACGTGCTTGGTTTGAAAAATTTAGCTCCATTGTTCAAAAATTTGGGCTAAGACGCAGTGAAACAGATCATTCAGTCTTTTATTGTCATACATCTCTGGGTAAATGTGTTTACTTAATAGTATATGTTGATGATATAGTCATTACAGGAAATGATACTTGTTGGAATATCTCAAGCTGAAGGAGTACTTGTGCGAGACATTTTCAAACCAAGGATTTGGGAAGCCTAAAATACTTCTTGGGCATTGAAGTAGCTCAATCAAAAGATGGAGTTGTAATCTCTCGGAGAAAATATGCTCTTGATATATTACAAGAAACAGGTATGATTGATCTGTAAACCTGTAGAGAGTCCTATGGACCCAAATAAGAAATTAACAACAGAAGAAGGTGAAGTATTCTCTGATCCAGAGAGATATAGGAGGCTGGTCGGAAAACTGATTTATCTCACTATTACAAGGCCTGATCTATCTTTTGCTGTTGGAGTGGTTAGTCAGTTCATGCAGACTCCATGTGCTGGTCATTGGAATGCTATCATTCGCATTCTAAGGTATCTTAAAAAGGCTCCTGGACAAGGATTGTTATATGAAGATAAAGGAAGCATTCGAGGTCACTGAGTACTTGTGATGCAGATTGGGCGAGTTCACCTGTTGATAGACGGTCTACCACTGGATATTGTGTCTTCCTTGGAGGAAACATTATTTCATGGAAAAGTAAGAAACAGAATGTAGTGGCTCGATCGACAGCTGAAGCCGAATATAGGGCAATAGCATCACTAACTTGTGAACTTATATGGGTAAATCAGTTCATTCAAGAGCTTAACTTCTGTGATATCCAGACTATGAAGATGTATTGTGATAATCAAGCTGCTCTCCACATTGCATCAAATCCCGTATTTCACGAGAGAACTAAACATATAGAAATTGATTGTCACTTTGTTCGTGAAAAGTTGTTGACAAAAGAAATATGTACCGAGTTTGTTGGATCAAATGACCAACTCGCAGATGTGTTTACCAAGTCCTTAAGGGGACCTCGGATTGAGTTCATTTGTTCCAAGCTTGGTACATACAACTTGTATGCTCCAGCTTGAAGTGGAGTGTTGGAATAGATTAGAAAATATATGTAATCATTATACCTAAGGTAGGAGGTTGAGTGTTAGATAATCTCTGCAGGGGGTTGAGTGTTAGATAATCTCTGCACCTAGTTCTGAGGAGTAATCTAGGACTGTGCATTTAATGTAATCTCCCTATTGTATCAGTTTTTATCTATATAAATACAGAACTATGAGAGGGGTTCTTCAAGCCCTCTAAAAACATTTTTTCTCAGTTTTTGAATATCAAGTAGTGTTTATAGTAAAATTCATTAATTCATATATAGCCAAACTGTTCATTGTATTATGTGAATTGTTGTCATGAAATTTATGTTGTAGCCTCCATTATAGTTATTGTCCTATGATAGTATAACGTGTGAAATGAGATTTGCACTTAAATGCAAGCAATGCCAATTTGTGCAGATGTGTATATTCTGTTTCCCAACTTCTTCAATCATTCCACTACATGATCATCCTGGGATGAATGTATTCAGTAAACTTCTATATGGCTCTTTGCATGTGAAAGCTTATGACTGGGTTGAGCCTCCCTACATCATAGAAAGTAAAGGACCAGGATATCCTCAAGGTCTGACCAACTTATGACTCATGAATTGCCTTTTATTTTATTATTTTAATTGTTATATATGATTTTATATTTCCAATAAGGTGAGACTGCCCTTATTAATTTTTCATTTTAACTTTGAAGACCTTATCCCCCATAATGCACATCCCATATTATCCTTGGGAATCTTCTTTGGCCAAAATGTTTCAAATTATATACTCTCTCTCTCTCTCTCTCTCTCTCTATATATATATATATATATATATATATATATATACTATGCTTTTGGTTCAAATGCCTATTTATCCCCAATAATAGTACATTTCCCATGGTTACATGAGAACCATAAGTCACATACATGGAAATCAAGTCAAAGCACTTGAACTTGTTTAAGAGTGGTGTTCATAGTGCATTGAAAAGTCGCTAGAGAATAGGTAAATCCGAAAGACATTACTAAAAAACTCAAAACGTCTTTGGTGTGTTGTAAAAATTGTTTTTGGGATGTCCAAATTATGCATCCTAATTTGATGATAATATGCCTTCAAGTCTATTTTAGAGAAATAGGTAGCTCCATTTAAGTCATCCAATAGTTTTTCAATAATAGGGATAAGAAATTTGTTTGGAATTGTTGCCTTATTAAGAACCTGATATTCAACAGAAAACTCCAACGCCCCTCCTTTTTTTTTTTTTTTACTAAAATATTTGGGCTAGAGTATAGAGTGGTACTTGGTCTAATAATTCATGTAGATAACATTTCAAAGCTTGCGCTTCAATCTCATTTTTTATGTAGATGACAGTATCTATATGGTCTCACGTTTATAGGATGTACTCCAGCCTCAACAGGGATTCGGTGGTTAATGTCTCAAGCTAGTGGCAGCCTTTCTATTCATGAGTTCAAACTTTGATAACACTGCCTACAATTGATTCCTTTGTTTGCTAGACAATTCTTCCTCTCTAATCTGTATCTTTTCCATTTCCCACAGAACTGATATTTCATCTACTTCTTTTCTAGCAATTTTGTTTAGGGATTTTGAAGATACGACAAATTTAGACAAACTAGGATCTCCTCGTGCTGAAAATTTCACAGAGTCCACCTTATTCACTTCTCTGTTTTTTTTTCCCTCCTCTATAATTCTTGTTTCTGCCTGCTTTGTTCATCTTCTGCCAATATGGTTACACTTGAATTCTTTTCTAGGCAACGATTATTAGGACTATACATCTTCCCACATCTAAAACACCTTCCTTCTTCCCTTCTTTTCACATGTTTTACATAGCGAATGTTTTTATTATTCCTATTTTTGGCCACAAAAGCATTTGGTTTCATTATCATAGTCGTTAGATTCTGGGAATTTTGAGATCCATAGTCTGCTACCTTTTGGCCCCACTATTACGAATTATTTGACCTACTCATAGTTCCTCCTCCTCTTGCTATGACTCCTCCTTTCCCTTGATATCTTACTCTCAAAGTAGCATATGTCATGCTTCCCGAACCATCCCTTAGCCTTGTACATATTTCATCGCTACTTCCACATCTCTTCTACTCCTCCTATTTGTATTAATGTATCCAATCTCGTATACACTGACCCTCTACCTTTTTCTCAAATCTCCTCATTAGGGCCATCAAAGACCCTTTCCAAGAAGGATTCTTGGTTTTTCAGTGTCAATACTGAAACCAGTGAACAACATTTCCTCCCATCCTCACCAAGGCTAGCTTTAAACATTTAGAAGTTCTGATTTGTTGAACTTCAAATAAAATTCTTCCCTTGTTATCCAAGCCAAAGGATCTTGTCCTTCAAAAATAGGTAGCTTCATTTTCTTGGTCCAAGATTGACTTGAAGATTTATCCTCAAACCCTCTGATCTCTCTTTCATCTGAGGAGTGACCTATCTGATTTACTGAATTATCCCCTTCCACCAACTGATTTTTCTTATTACTTTGCCTACATATTACGATATAAAATCTAATAAGTTGTTGCTATTTGTTTTATCTCTATTATCCTGAAATTTGATTATATGGGTGGAGTTGCAGACTGTTTGATATTCCTTTCCTCTTTGTGTGGTGATAAAGCGGAAAAAGAGTGGCAGTTGATGCAAACTTGCAGTGCCTATTATGATCAACATAGACAGCTATTAAAGTCCTTGAAATTAAGTTGCTTACAAGTAATAAGTAATTTCATTATGCCATATTTTGGCTCATGGGGATCCGGTCATTGAGAACTTAAATTTACATTCTTCTATAGAATTTAAGTTGATCTTTATTGAAATTTGACAACGTGAAAATCATCATGTTCATGGCTTATGCATTCTGCTCTACTGCATCTGTATTTGGTACCTACTTGTTAACTGAGTTTTTTCGTTTTTTTTTCTCTGGTGCAGTTAGACTAGCAAAGTTAGCAGTTGATAAGGTGTTGAATGCACCGTGTGAAACATCAGTCTTATATCCCAAACACGGTGGAAATCTGCACTGTTTTACAGCAGTATCCCCTTGTGCCATGCTAGACATTCTCACTCCTCCTTATAGAGAAGAAGAAGGCAGGAAGTGTACTTACTATCATGACTATCCTTATTCAGCATTCTGTAAGTATCTGCTTAGTAATATTGTTTGTTTTCTATGCATCAGCCACAATTGGCGTGCAACCATGACTTCAAACTTTGGCAGTAGTGCTATATGTCATTGCATCAAAATAAGTCATGATTTGAGTAATTATAAATTGAATTACACAGTTTTGAATTCTGAATTCTGAAAATATGTTGATGCCCTTAAGAAGTTAGAATTCTTTTATAGAGCTCATAAGTTCTTTTAGGAAGTTATTCAAATACGAAATTTCTGAGTAATTTCTTGTTGCCTATGGTTCTGCAGCAGCTGGAAATCCACCTGTATGTGATGGGGAAGAGGAGGAATATGCTTGGCTCGCAGAGTTAGAATCACCCAGTGATCTCTATATGCGCCAGGGAATATATGCTGGTCCAGCTATTCAGCTCTAGCCCTGGTTGCTTGGATTTTGAAGCACTGTGCAAAGGGTGGGTGATGTTAACGCCTGAAAATACAGGTATCCCAAATTGCACCTGGAAGCTAGAGACAAGAGGATCTAAATTGCTGATATATGGAGTGTTCTGGTTAATTTATGCCTCCTTTTGCCAATGTATATTTTTAGCAAAGATTTTGATACATGAATCTGCAGTTTTTTTGCTATGATACTAGTGGCCCATGTGTTCCATACTGTGTTCCCTCATTATGCAAGCACTAAATTGTTCTTTCCTTGCACATTATCATTAGCATCATTATTTTGTAATGAACCCCATAATTATGGTATTTACAAACCTGATTCCTGTGTAGCCATATGAAAAATATGGATCAATGTCTCTTTGCATAAACATGAACTAGAACTGATCATTATTCGCTATGCTCTGTGGATTGGTAAATCTTTTACCAATTTTCATATGTAAGTCTTAAACTGAGTCAAAATTCCTTTTAATTTATTGAGATAGTGTAGGTTCAGGAAGCGTATTTTTCTTTGTCCAGATAGATTTAAGCATTTTTCAAGGTAGCTGTTGCTTTGGTTCATGATAAATGTTGGTCCTCCTTGTCTTAATTAGGTTTTGAAGCCTTGGACTTTTTTTTCTTTCCCTTTACGATAAAGATGCTTAAATTCTACACTCTGAATGCTATATAAAAATTTCATATCTAAAATTTAAAGGGAGATAAATTTTTTAGGATTTTCATGACACTCGTCCCTCCTTGATGCCATCGATTTAGTTGCAACGTCCATGACCTAATCGAGTTATGATTGGAGCAAGATTAAGATTAAGTTGAGAAAAGTAAGTGATTGAAAAAGAAAGGAAAGGTTTTAATTTAAGTTTAAATAATTTTTGGTTTTTATAATTTTATATTTGGATCTTCATTTTTTTTTCTAATAAAAAAAGTATCCAAATTAGTATTTTATTATTTTAATTTTAATATTCTATGTCATCATCTTTATCGAATGATTTTTTTTTCTTAAATAATTTATGTTTGGAAATGAATAAATTTTGTCTTCTTTTATTGATCCTTTATTAGTTTTTTTTTAATGTGTTTCTTATTATTATCACTTAACTCTTAACTAGATAATCTCAAAATTCAAAATATAACTATTCAATTGACTTGTTGAAGTGAAATAAACTTCTCTTAAAAAAAAAAATAAAAAAATTACAACTTCCTGTAGAACATATGTCTCACAAATAAGATTTAAGGAAGTAGGCATGGCAACGGGCGGGCAGGTTTTGCCTTCCCGATCCCGCCCCAACTTTTTTAATCGTCCTCGCCCCGATCCTCAGCTGAGGTTAAAAATTAAGTCTCCATCCCCGTCCATGTTGGGTTTCGGGTTCTCCGTCCCCGTCCCATCTCCGATTTATATTATTTTTAAAAAAATAATTACATTTATAATAAATTAATTTTACTATCTATTTTTTATATATAAATAAATATTTATAATTTATAATAATTATTAATTAAATATACATTTTAATTTATTATATTTATATAAAAATATGTATGTAAAAAAATATTTAATCATTTTTTATTTATAACATTATTATTATTATTATAATACTGTATTCAAATATTTGAATACTTATAACATTATCATTATTATTATAATACTGTATTCAAACATTTGATTATATATATAAGTTAATTTATTTTTAAGTTGTCATTTAAAAATATGAAATATATAGTTTATAATGAAATATTTAATAAGTTAATTATTATTCAATTAGTTCAAAGTAATAAAAGTTTAAATTATCAATTACTGTTAATCCTTTAAAATACAATTATTTTATTAAGATAAAATTTGATATATGATAAATAAGAATAATAAGATAAACAAATGACATAATAAAACCTAATAAATATAAATTATAAATAAAATAATATTAGTTACTATTAAGATTTATGTAAAATATTTAGAAAAAGATAAAGAAAAAAAAATTAACTTTGTGTTCATCAAATTGATTGAAAAGATTGAAAAAAAAAACAAATTGATGAGAGAGCTTAAGGAAATATGAAAAACTGCAAGGTATAAGAGAGAATAATGTAATAAATTAATTGATGTAAAAGATTAAAAAAGACAAAAAAATTAAAAAATAGGTAGAAGAAAAATAAAAATTGGTAAAATATAAAAAAATGAACTTATATGTAATAGAAAAAGAAAAGAAAATACTTTTAAAATATTAATATTTTAAAATTTAAATTTAAATATAAAGTCAAAGCGGGACGAGGCCGGGGTCGGGATTGCATTACCCATCCCCGCCCCCGTCCCGACTTTCTAAAGCGGGGAAAACCCGAACCCGCCTTCGCCGCCGGTCAACTCGGATTTTCCCTGTCAAACTCGGGGCGGGGTGGGTCGGTCCTCACAGGGACGGGTTTAATTATCATCCCTATAAGGAACAAGAACTCAATCGACTCAAACCAAACCTAGTTTATGAAATAAGACTCAAATAAGGTAGATTTAATTTGCAATTCTATCAACATTCAAAAAAATAATAATTCAACCCGAAAATTTAGCTAAGCTAAAGTAATTCTCGATAAGCCATTAGAGTATAAAAAATAAAGGTAGATTTGAAACCAATAACTAAGCAAAGTTGCATTCAGCACATATGCTTTTCTCCCTCAACACAATTTCTCACAGTAGTTTCTTACTTGCTTGCTCACTTAGCACAATTCATGCATCAAAAACTCCATCACGCACAACTACAACAAAACTCGTTGAAATCATAAAAGTAATACTCCATCTATGAAAGAGTCACGCAAAATTGTTAAGTATCTAGAGTCTAAAAAATTATTAGGTCTAACCCATTTTCTTATTATTTTATCATAAATATTTATGTAATTGTAAATTGCAATGATCTATCTTGTAAAATCTATGTAGTGATGGGATATTGCATCCATTACAACAAAAGGATTCAAGATAATATCCTAATATTTTTTTTAAATTGAGATATTTAACTTAATTTTATAAAATTGGTTTAATATAGTAAAGATTGTATTTATTTATATATTATAATATTATCATATTTCTAGTCAGTGTAAACATTGCACCTATCAATTTGAGGGAGATTTTCATATTTCAACTTTACGAGAATTGACTCTGATATCATCTTAGAAATGATGAGATATTTTATTCAACATTATAAAATTATGGTGAGGAATATATTTATTTATATATTATAATATTATTGTATTTCTAGTTTACGTGAGATTTTATCGTACCTCATTTTTAAGAAATTTTTTATCATCAATACCTAAATACCCAAATTTAATTTGATATGGTTAGGTAAGTTTTGGAAGTGTCATGGAAGGGCATGAATGGTTGAACAAATAATTTGACAATGTAAATTACAAAGATTTCACAAAGAAAAACTTGATTAAGAAGGTAACTTTACGAAGACAAAACAAGTGTGTAACACTAGATGACGCAAGTGATTTAAAATCACGTAGGATTTGTCATTTGTACTCTTATGACCATCTATATTATATCATTTACCATCCTTTGAATGTATATTTTTTTCTTTTATATGCATTATTTATATATTTTTTTCCTAGTTAGTGCAAAATAAAAATATTTTTTCTTTGAAAATTTTATCACTAACCATGACTATTTAAATTAGTTATGATTTTTAATATCATTTTAAATTAGCAACCATTATTAACAATAATAAAATTTTACGTATTATTTGCTTATTTAATAACATGTATTTTTAAAATAAAACATATTTAATAATTTATTTTAATTATTTTATTAATTTAATCTAATTGTTGTACAAATAATTTCAATATTTTAATTATCATATAAAATAATTTATTTTTCATTTATTTAATATAATATATAGTAATTCATGCATTCGTTAATTTAAGTATTTATATAAAGTTATAATAATTGTTTTTATACATACAAATGCAATTAATACCTTAAATAATAAAAGATTTATAAATTATAATTTTTTTAAAACTTTTATTTTCCATAAACTTAATTAAAAAAAACCTATTGCAAATTTGGAAGGAGTCGAAAACTTTCACTTTAAAATATTATTTCGGTCATAATTTTGTTTTTAAAAAAATATTTCATAGATAAGTGTAAATAAAATATGATTGATTCGTGATTATGAGTATACTAGAAGATAAAAACTATAGTAGAGGACTAAGAATGAAATGAAATTTTAATATCGATCCATGATCCATGTCAAATATTCTAACCAAAATTCTCAAAAACTATACCCAGTTCTGATTGAGTAATAGCTTACCTCAAACCTAATCCTAAAAATTCTTTTTATTGAGCTAATTCGTCCGAATCCTGAATCTAACATTATAATGAATTGATTCTCACGACCTAAGATTCATATTAGCTTGGCAAGATTTCCATCCAAATATTCACTCAACAAATTGGTTGGTTGGCCCATATCTGAGAATAATGTTCGGTGTCATACTGAAAAAAAAATTTGGATCAGCATTGAAATTTAAGTCCATTTCTAAATTTCACACTAGGCTGAGATCAGCATTTTGACACTACAGGTTTATTAGGGTAAAATTTTCTAGGGTGAAGGGAAAAAGAAACTTGATCATATCCCTTGAGCTTTTATGCTTGGTCGTAACATACACTTGTTCACAAGAAATGTAAAGTACAATTACAAACACTGGAACTGAACTACAAAAAAGAAATATCTAAACCTCTCCCTTCCTCAAAAGGACGACCCATTAAATTATTGCCGTAAGCAGAAGGACTAATGTTACTGCACCAAGTTATCATCCAATCACTTGGTAATTATTTCAGTTCAAAACACGCATCTTAAGGTTAACTCATTAAGTAGATCTGAAAACCCCAGAAGGATTCAGCTATATCAAAACTCAGGATTTTCCTCCGTAAATCAATGAAGAGAATGATTCTGATGAAGAATCATTTCCAGAATATGTTTTTCTTTCATCAGTTGTCGTTCACTCTACAGTGATCTGAAAGCTTGACCAGCATATCGCACGCTTCCAAGTTCTTCTTCAATCCGAAGAAGCTGAAAAGAAATTGAACACATTTGTGGTGGAGAATGTATGTTAGATCATTTCATCATCATGCTATTTGCCACTGAATACTTCAGAAGCATTCTAAAAAGATACTTTTCTAAGTTATTTTAAAATATTCATGATATTGGCTGAGCTAAAACCTTGCATCAAGAGGGCACACAAAATTCCTATTACCTGATTATACTTTGCCAATCGCTCACTTCGGCAAGGAGCACCAGTCTTTATCTGGAGAACAGAACTTGGATAATCAGTATAAAAGTGATAACATCATAATTTACAGTAGCTAAAAAGATTTATTCACCAAACAAAAGATTATGGGCATAGAACCTGTCCACTGGCCAAGCCAACAGAGAGATCAGCTATGAAATTATCCTCAGTCTCACCACTCCGGTGACTAACCATGACACCCCAACCTGAAGCCTTCGAGTCAAGTGCAGCCTGAATAGATTCAGTTACTGTACCAATCTGGTTAACCTGCAGTCAATTGGATAACAGAAATATCAGTTGAAGTAACCTTTACAAATTCAGCCACATGCAAGTGAACTTTGATTAGTCTTGATAAGATTCAAATAAATACAATTATCTGAAAGCAAGATGGAAATGTTGGGTAAACTAAACTAAAAATGATGCGAAATGAAATAATTCTATTACATATTAGCTTTTAAGTATTACAATTGAAACGAAAAATTGGAAAAACACTGCTAACCTTTAGAAGCAAACCATTGCAAGCCTTCTTCTCGATAGCCTCAGCTATTCTCTTAGGATTTGTAACTAACAAATCATCTCCTACAAGTTGGATATCAACTGAAGAGAGCAGCGAAGTCCATGAACCCCAATCATCTTGATCAAACGGATCCTCAATCGACACAATAGGAAATTCTTTTACAAAGTCTTTATATAGTTGGCCTAGACTCTGAGCAGAGTGAACATGAGTTCCATCATTTGGCTGTTTCTTGAAGTTCAAATCATACTTCCCATCCTTAGTGTAGAACTCCGAAGCTGCAACATCCATACCTATTTTAATCTGCACCATGGTTTTATTTCCAGGTTAGCACAAGTGAATATTCAAATTATGCAATAACAATGATGAAAAGTGCATCCACCTTGCCAGTATATCCAGCCTTCTCAATGGCATCCATAAGTAAAACCAACCCCTCCCTGTTATCCTGGACGTTGGGAGCAAATCCTCCTTCATCTCCAACATTACATGCATCTTGTCCATATTTTGCCTTGATTATTCCCTTTAATACATGATAAACTGTTCAACCAGAAATAATCAAGTTAACTGATTGTCACCATCGATAGATCACTGGCAATGGGATTAAAAAAATCATGAAATGCATGCAGCAAACAATATACAATATGCAGTCAGGAAAATCGGAGTTTAAACTAGCCATCAAATCATATGCACTAATAATATTAGAATTAAAACTAATATCTGAACTCACATAAAATCACACTCCCCAGAATGATTTGAGTTATTGAGCAAAAGAGAAGTCATTAAGTTGAATGCAAAAATGAGAAAACGCATGCAAAAGATGCATGATTATACAGATCACAAGCATGCTTCCTCAGAGAGGTAACAGTCAGTCATAAAGCAATAGCTCTAACCTTCACTGCCCATGCGGAGTGCCTCAGCAAATGAAGTTGCTCCAACCGGTAGTATCATAAATTCTTGCATAGCCAAATTATTTCCAGCATGACTGCCCCCATTTATAACATTAAAAGCTGGAACTGGCATAACAAGTTCCTTTGTTCCTGAAATCTCCTGAATGTGCTTGTACAAAGGCACTCCCTTTGCCCCCGCACCAGCTCTACATACACTCAGTGAAACTCCCAATATTGCATTAGCCCCTAGTTTTGATTTGTTAGGAGTTCCATCAATTTCCAGCATAATAGCATCAACATCAGCTTGATTCCTTTTTAAACAGGAAATCATAAATGTTAGCTCTACAGCACAGCATGTCAAAAACAGAACCCCACATTTTTGTTCAAGAGCACATGTATAAAATAAGTTTCGTTTTTTTTATTCATTTCAAAAACAATAACAACGCCAAAGAAGAAATGATGGAGGTATAATCCATTCAAAGTAAAAACAATATCAAGAACCAAGCATAGGTGTCCAAACGGCAATGTATGGGATGCTACATACACCTAGTTCAAAATACTTAAGCTAACTAACTCCATATCATGATATTTCACATCAATTTGATCCAAAGCTGTTTTTACGGCATTACCACACGCTTCTGCAGCATGACTTCAGGTTTCCAGCTTTTGTAATAAATCACTAATCATTAATCATTAAGAAAACACAAATCTAAGCCTCTGATATTGATTGTGAGGCTCTATACCTGTTACCTAACACTGATCAAACAATTAACTTTACTAAAATCACATTTGACATGAGGCAAAATCAATTCTGATACTTCCTACAGTGATAACCAAACACAGCTTTCATCCCTTATTACTCATTCCCCTCTCTGGTAACATTCCAACCACGCCTTAATGGCTGATTCAATTTTACAAAGTTTTTCTCAAACATAAACGGAATATTACTCTTCACTTTTATTCTCTTCCAAACACTCCATCAAAACCTTTCGATTCTTAGAACGTAACGCTCCCTAATAATTCTTTCTACAACTCCACTTACCGTTCATTCCTTTTTGTTTCACTTTACTGCTACTTAACAGGAATGATTAACCAACGGAGAAAGGAAGTCCGTTACCTAACGTCGACGCCGACGAGTTTCGGAGCCAAGATCTCGTTAATGTTCATAACGGCGTTAAGGACGCCCTTCCCCCCGTAAACGCTCTTGTCCCCGTCCCTCAGCTCCAAAGCCTCGTAAATCCCCGTGGACGCGCCGCTCGGCACCGCCGACCGGAAAAGCTCATCCGTCACCAGATCCACCTCCACCGTCGGGTTCCCCCGGCTGTCCACAATCTGCCTCGCCTTCACCGACTTCACCCTGCACTCCCTATCCGCCGTCGCAGCCGCGCGCACGACGAAGGAGCGCAGCGGGGTCCGGAAACGGACACTTTGAGGTGTCCGATGGGTGACCAAAGAGGAAGAAGAAGAAGAAAGAGTTTTAGTGAGTGGTTGTGTCAAACTTAGAGCCATTGTTTGGTGAAGTGTATTCGAACGAGAACTCGGAAATGAGAGTGTGGGTGGTGTAATGGTTTTATTATGTGAAGAAAGGTCGGAAATTTTAGGGTTGGTGGGAAACTCCGCTGAGGGCGATGAAACTTACTTAACTGGAACACAACAGAACAGAAGCCTAAAAAACAACGCCTTTCGGAGGTTGGTGGGGGAAACCTTCACTGACTCTGTAAGGTGGTGGCGTGGTAGGTGGTTTCTTTCTGTGCATGCGTCATTGTATTTACTGGTCAACTTTCTATTCCATTGTTTTCAATTTCGAAATTTTGTTTTACATTAATTTGATAAGTTATCAAATTTTCAAAATTTAAGGATAAAAAAAGTTATTAAAAAATAGAATTTCCTAATGCATTCTTCGTATTGCAAGTTAATTCGGACATATGTTTGTTGATATTACCGGTTAGAATTTAATAGTTAGTTAAAAAGTAGATAAAGATTTTAGAAATGTTAACACTTGTATTATGACTAGAAAGAATAATAAAAATAAACCTAGACATAAAGACCGATGTTGTTGGGACGTTTGACAAAAATAAGTGATATGTTTATTACCACTTCAAGAGATTTACCCAAGCAAATAGATGCGTTTTTGTTTATTTAATTTTTCAGTTAGAGAAGTCAAAATTGAACTTGACCAAGGAAAAAATTGGGTGATTGCAAAATGTTTGTCTACGCTATTTTATCGTATATTATTATTATTATTATTATTATTATTATTATTATTCTTATTATTATTATTATTATTATTATTATTATTATTATTATTATTATTATTATTATTATTACATATTGTGGTTAATACATTGCAAGTATACGTTATTATGGAGAAAATAATTATACAAAAGGTCAATATGGATTTAGAGCAGAATATACGAGCATCTTAATCAATTATTTTACAATTAAATAATATATTATTAATAAATAATAAATAAATATAAAAAATATCATAATTATAAATATTTAAATAAATATATTTAATAATAATTAAATTTGAGGAATAAAATTATATATATATATATATATATATATATATATATATATATATATATATATAAAGTTATAAAATTTTGAGAACTACGATACTCTTCTCCAAAAAGCTCACTATTGAGAGAAATTATTTTATCATTAGTATGTAAAGTGCACTGTTAAAAGCCCAATTTACTTAATTTCCTATATTTTATCTAATAATCTATTTTTCTCTTTTTTCATTAATATTTTTTTTTCCAATTTTAATTTCTTTATTTTTTATTTCTCTCTTTTTAAACATTTTTTTACAAACAATCTAAAATAAAAGATTAATTAATTCTTTTTTTTAAATTATACTTCAAAAATAATTTAAAATATGTTTTTAAATAAAATATGCATGTTATATATATATATATATATATATATATATATATATATATATATATATATATGTGTGTGTGTGTATATATGTATATATATATATATATCCTTAAATATATTTTAAATTATCATAAATGTTTTAAAAATTATAAATAATTTATTTATTTAATTAGAGGATATTACTTTTTATGATGACTATTGTAAATTTAGTAAAAATATTTCTAATATTATTTAATTATATTAATGATTAATGTTAATTTTTAAAATAAATTCTTGTAGATTTTATTTACTTGTAATATTTATTTTCTAAAACCGTAATAATATTGTGATTTATTTAATTTATTAATAATATGTTTAATTACTTTTAAAAATTTTAATTTAATTTTGAATAATATAAAAAAGCAATTGATTATTTGAACGTTAATCGGTAGTTTATTAAGTATAAAAAATAAATTTAAATTTAAATTAATGATTTATAAAAAATATGAAATTCTAACATGTTTATCATAAAAATAGTATCTAATTAATTAAAAAAATTATTATAATTTAAAATAATTTAATATATTAAAAAATTATTTTATTTAAAATTTGTATTTTATTTAGATATAAATTATATTATATTATTATTCAAAATAAACCCATAAATATATTTTAAAATTTAACGTGTATATTTTTTAAAAAATAGTTATTTCGAGGTTACTTGTGAGAAAGTTATTATAAGGAGAGAAATATGAAAGAAAAAAAAAAAAAGGACAAGAGAATTTTTGATGAGTTATCCCATTTGAAGTAAATGTGTGTAAAATTGAGATATTAAGTACATGGACAATTATTCTTGATAGCAAGTAGCTTTTATCCGGAATAAATAAAAGTTTATAATGTAGCTTTGGAGAAGGAGGTTAATGTGGAAGAGTATTGAATGAATGAGACAGCGGGTGATTTGTATATCAATACAGGATTTATTCTAAACTTAATTTTCATATTCTTATCATATTTTAATTATTAGTGACTCTTTTCATGCAAGATTATTGGATTAGCCCATTTTATTTTAGGTTTTAATTCGGTTAATTTAATCTTTATTATTTTATAAATTTGGCATGAATATATTTTCTAGATAAGTCATTTATACATCTTGTTATCATTAAAAAACAAATCATTATGATAAAGAAAAGTGTCATTCATAAAATCCTAGAAAAAATAAGTTTCGTTGTTAAGTATAAATAGAAAATTCATGAAAAATTAGAATTATATTGCGTAATAGTGCATTTATATGTCTTCACCGTTGTTTGTCAATCGGAAAATCGAGAGCTAATTATCAAGATTTTGAATTATCTAGACACATACTTTGGGAAATGGTTTATGCATGTTTCTTATTACCCAATGTTATTATATACATTGATAAATGTTTTATTGTGAACTGAGAATTATCAAGTGTATCCTTATGTATGTAGTGTTATATGTATAGATATTGATTTGGGACTTAGATATTCTAACTTTATTGATCATTAGATCACATAGATGAAATGATTAGGTGATGAGAGTTAAAAAAGATTTTTAATGACTTAGCTTGCACTACAAAAAAGAACTATGTCTTAATAAATCATTTAGAAATTTACCTCATCACATGTGAGTGTATATAACAAATTGAACACTCTTGTGTTATGCACTTGAGGAGTTGCAATGTGATAGATTTAGATCTCTGATGTATATTTTAATATCTAGTCTTTCTTAATATCCGTGTGATATAAATATAAGCTTATATGAGTGTGTGATGTGATATATCAAAACTTAAAATTGAATTATATTGTTTTATTTTGCATTTAAATTTTGTATACTTAAATTGAATAACTAACTTATCCTATCTTTTACATGATGTTTTTAACTATAATAATTGTGTTTATCGAGAATAAATTTTATAATTGATAAATATCAACAAAAATAAATGAAGTAATATAAATCTATAAGGTGATATATATATATATTCCAAAAATTATATTTTAAATTATCATGCGCATTTTAGTTATATATATTTCCCATATGTTTAGTTTTGGGACGGTTACATTGATCAAATTTTTATATATATAATAACAAGATATAACAATGTAAAATGCAACCAACATCAACAAATATAAGGTCCAAGATATGAAAATAATATATATAGTATATACAAAAATTATATCAATTCATGCTTGTTGAGAACTACATTCAATTGTCTAGTGTAACATTTTGTATTTGATTTTAAAATATTTAATTAAATATAAGAAAATATTTTTAATTCATGTCATAAAAATTATTATTTAAATTAAACATAGATTGATAAGACTAATTATTAAGATTTGGGATCATTAAGCAAAAGTCCATTAAGTTTGACTGTGGACAAAATTGAAACCATGTGCTTCTCATCAGGGGATTAATAAATTAAATTTAATTGTGACAAGTCCCTTGGATAGAATTGACAATTAATTAAATAATCATTAAACATTGATAGGATAAGAGGAAGATTTACTTGTAAAATATCTTCAATACTTAAATAAGTAGTTAATCAATAATTAAGAGAATAGAATATATTTAGAAAAACAATACAATATTATTTATAAATAAAATTAATACAATAATTTAATAACTACAGTCATATCTTAAATCATGATATTCTTAATATTTTAAAAATATCTTTAATTTAATTCTTTATATTTCATCATGATATATTAATATTATTGAATTATTATATTTTAACTACATGATACAATCTTAAAACTCCAAATGAAATTAAATGTAATTTAGTTTACAACTAATCAAAATAACTTCAACCAAATTATATCCTAAGCGTTAGCTACTTATTCAATAAAAAGTAGTATTCAAAAGGTTTAATCAATTTTAACTAAAAATAATAAATGAGTGAATAAAAGTTACACCTAAAACAAAAATTAACTGTTTAGTATATGAATATAACGAAAACTAATAATATTTATTATTATAAATAATTTATATTTTTTTATTTCTAATTTTTATTATATTTCCTTATTATATAATTTTTTTTGTTTTTAATAAATAATACTTTTATACGTATTAGAATAAATTTGTGAATTTTATAATATTAAATTAAGATTTACAAATTCAATTTAACTTATCCAAAATAACTTATATTCACTAAGAGCATATTTATTAGTGTTTGAAAAATTGTTTTAAGCAATTCTTCTATTGAAGAATATGACATGAAAAATATTGATTCATAGGTTCCAATTCTTTCAGAATTGTAAACTGATCTGCAAAGTAACCGTAAACAAAACCGTCTTCAAAGTTGAAAAACTAATTTCTACAGCGCGTGGCATCACTTTCCCATGCATGCCAACTTCCTCACAAACCACCACCTCAACCAACTTTGTTCTAAAAAAGCAGTTACGCTTCTTTCTCCACTCATATTTTTTTTTCTCTCCTCCTACTCACACACCTTATCGGAAAATGTCCCGCATAAACAACACCCTCGTCGGAATCCTTCACACGCTCCCCTTGCTCCTCGGCCTCGCCGCCATGGGTGGCTCCGCCTTCATCCACGTCCACGGCGACTGCCAGAAGGTGCTCCAATACCCGCTCTTATTCGGCGGCCTCTTCATTTCAGTCGTCTCCGTGCTCGGCCTCGTCGGCGCCTTGTTCCGCGTCAATGCCGCACTCTATCTCTACCTTCTCATCACCTTCTTCGTTATCCTCGCCTTCGCCTCTTTGACCCTTGTCGCGCTCTTCGTCTTTACCAAAGACAACGCGCCGCCCCACGCCTCGCGCGTGGGGTTCACCGTACGAGATTTCTCGCCCTGGCTACAGCACTACGTCACCGCCGACCGCAACTGGGACGATGCCAAGAGATGCTTCGTGCAAACGCGTGTCTGCCACGGCCTCACCGTGATCGGTAACAACGGTTCTCTCGTTTTCAAACACTTATCTACCACTCAGGTTGATCACACTCTTCTTCGATAAACTTTTTTATTTCTTCTCATTTACGTTATAACATTTATAGAATCTATAGTTCAGAAAACCCTTAACCTTGTCCTGTGACTCGGTTTAGAATTAAAACTAAATTCAAATGAAACAACGATTAACTTTTCTATTTCAATACTTCCCCTGAATACAATACCTATATCAGTTATCAAGTTGTGTTAACCAGTTTAGCATTTTCAAAGACTATAATTAAAGTTTTTACACATTGATGTGCCTAAAATTTTATCTTTATTTGCATATTAATGAGCTTGTTGATTATTTACCCTTGTAAAAACTATCATAGTTGTTGTGGTTAATGATTGTGGCGTTGAATTTGACGATTTTTGTATTACACACAGTTTGGGTGCTGCAAGCCCCCGGTGCAGTGTGGATTCAAACTGAAGAACGGAACGGTGTGGGAAGCGCCGAAAGCGGGGGCAGCCATGAACGTGTCTGATTGCAGGGCTTGGAGCGACAGGGAAGAGAAAATGTGTTTTGAGTGCGATGCATGCAAAGGGGGAGTGCTGGCCAGCGTAAGGAAGCAATGGAGACATCTGACAATATTGAATGCGTGCGTGGTGGTGCTTCTCACCACCATCTACGTCTTAGCCTGCTACGCCATCAGGAACAACCGATTGGATTACTCCAATTACACCTCCCAGAGAAAGATCAGAATGAGAATACCCCTCACCACAGTTCACCAGTGAACCCACTCTTTTCGATTGTGTTGATGTTGTTGTTGTTATTATTTACTAGTCAAGGAAGATCTCTCATGAAGTAGTACGTAGTAGTAGTACACTTTGTTGTTTTGTATACAAATGTTACAAAAACAAGTATGTGCAAGTTTATTTTCTCCCTTTACGTCTTGTTATTGGCTCAAGAAACTCAAGATAATCATGAATTTGATGAAGATTGTTGGGGTTAAGATCGGAATTGAATTTTGAGTGCTATGGTGGTGGTTACGATGTTCGGGTGGTGTATGGTAGTGATTCCACAATGCAAAATAAACCAAGAAAAAGTGAAGAATGACTCAAATTGAAAAGAGAAATGATAAAATAAAATTGAAAAAAAAAAATTGTCCACGTGGTATCCAATGACTTTCATTTAGAAAAATTATAATAAATATATATTAGGTGTTAAATTTAAAATCTCAAAAATTAAAGTAAAAAATAAAAAATACATTATTATACCTGGTCACATGAACCCAATGTAAATCCAATATTAATAAATAGTTCTAATATATAATTAACTATATCTTGGGATAACTTCAATGTAAATTATGCAAGGACAAACTACATTTATTATGTAAGACATTGCTTACATTTATAGTACTAGTAGTTAAAGCTTTCATAAAATGGAAAATATTGGATTATATTTTAATGAGATGATATCTTTGTTTTAAAAGCTCTCAAGTTTATAATTGACGTAAAATCACACCATGTTATTTTTCATCAAAATTAATGCCATTGATAATGAAATCTTATAATAGGTTATTAATTAATAATAATGCATTAAATATGTTACAAGTATATTATATTTTTACTCGAGCATTAATATAAAAAGTAATGTAAATAGTCTTTGAAGTGACTTAAATTCATAATTGGACACATGTCTAACAATTTTTTTTTTTCTATTCATGAACTTTTGTATGGGTTGGGGTTCAAGCCATACAAATTAACATTCTCTATATTCAAAATTAATTGATTGATATATGTATATTGTTAACATAAATATAAGTTATAATGTATCATTTCATAGTATACAAGTGCAATGAAATATATAATTAGAATATACGTACATCTAATGGTATTTTGCACATGCTGTGGATATAGACGTTATGAAACTTCAATCAACTGTCCTAATGAATTACAATGTTCCTCAACCTAATATTAGGTGTCATAGTGTTTCTGGTGAAAATTTGATCGATTTTGATTTTTTAGAAACTTAGGTTCTAATCAAATTTCAACCACGTAGATTCTTTTTACTTAGACTAGTAACAATTTTCAATCAAAACGTATATAAGAATCGAAAATGTCACCATATCGAGAAAGGTCAACAATGCAATAGATCATACAGATTGACACTAGAAAATATTATTTTCTGGTATTTTATTTAAGAAACACGAAGTAAGGAAAACAGTAAAATGTATCGAAAATGAAAGGCAATACAAAATATTAAATTACATAGAATTGTAAATGTGGAAACCTCGAAATTGCATTAACTGTAAATGACAAAGAATTAAAATTGCATGAAAGTAAATAGCAGGACATCGAAATTGCAGAAACGGTAAATGACAAATAATTTAAGCACAAAATCTTAAATTGCATTAAAGGTAACTGGCAGGTAATCGAAAGTACAAAAACTTACATTACATTAAAGGTAAATGACAAGTAATTAAAAGTACAGAAACTTAAATTGATGAATGTAAATTGCATGAACGTAAATTACCAGGGAAAGTAAAGAAAGCGATAAAGACGATCAATGATAATAGAAATCCAGAGCATTACAAACTTCATGATGCGTCGTTCTCCTGTAGACTTTTCACTAATGTTTCTATTCTCTCTGCCAATTCCTTCTTTCCTTCAATCTTCGCTCTATTTATAGAGCATCCTTCAGGTAACCTCCTAAGAGAAGTTAACAAAAACTGCTACCACGTTCCACGTGCACGTCCCTCGAAGTTTTACCTTAGTTCTACGGTTTAGAAAGCTGCTTCCACGTTCCATATGTGTTTTAACCGTTCCTCAATTTATAACTTAGCCATAATTTCGATAGCCATGTAGGTTAACCTTTCCCTCGATCTCAATTTCAAATCTCGAGAACTTTGAATTGCTTTTGATTTCCCTTAACCTTAACATTACACTTGATTCTAATTTCTCGATTTTTCTTCAGCAATAGACATCAAGTATTCTTCCTTCGATTCTCGATTCCAATTCTCGATTTATGTGTTCATACTGTTACGTGATCATCGAATGTCTTCCAACCATCTTTTCGATTTATCAATTTTTTAACTAATCATATGATCCTCGATTTTCTTTCATCCGCTTTTCGATCCCTATATCAATTTTTTCACTAACAAAATGCCCCCTTGGAAGAATATAAATATTTGTACCAATTTTATATTCTTACAAAAAAAAAAAAAACAAATCCAGCCCTTAAATATTCCTGAAGCCCAAAAAATAATTGTTTAGGGTTTATGGTTTTTTAGGGTTTTTAGGGTTTTGCTGCTTTATGTCAAATATCAAATCACATCACCTTCCACTATCACAACGCGAACGCCACGCATTAATTACCTTCTTCTCATATTCGTCGTTTCAAATACCTTAGTTGGTCTCTTTAAATACTCCAATCAATTTTGCACTTGTTTTTTTACCAAAAACCTAACCCATCTTCTTTCTTCGTCACACCTTTTCTCTGTCTTCACTCTTTCCACAACTGTAATGACGACTTCCAAATCTTCTGACTTCCCCACCCCGCCACTTTCGTCGGTAACTTCGACTCTAATAGAGATAAACGACAAAAAGTTTGCTCCAGTTCCCTTGTTGGAAGAAGCTTCACAGAAAATTGTCGAGACACAGGTACTTATCCCTTACGCAGTTGATAACGTAGATTATGCATTTGGTGGTCCTATCCGCTATTGTGGTGGATCGTTTTCCTCTTCTATCTGTCTTCCTTCAGAGAATAAAGTCCCTATTCATAAATCCGAGGTACGGATTGATTTTTTAAATGCTGTTTCGAAAGTATATCGAACGGGTCCTCCCCATAAAAAGCCCTTATACATCAGATGGTTTGATAGAGTAAAGACTAAGTTTGGGAATCACTGGAGAGATGTAGGGATTTTCGATTTTCTACACCTATCTCGATGCGATCTATCATTTCTGGATATGTCTATGTTTTTATCCGCGGTCCATTTATGGAATAAAGATTTACACGCGATGAAGCTTCCCTGTGGTCCCCTTTCCCCCACTCTTTTTGAGGTCGCTGCAATTACCGGATTAAAGCCCACAGGGGAAAAATATTTTAAGAGTGCTTTCCTTTAAGATGACTCTCTCAAATCAAAAATCGATTGGGATTCGAAGGCCTATGGACACTTCATCGAAAAACATTTTATTGATGACCAATCGGTAGCCGTTTCTGATAAAGAACATGTTGCATTTCTAGTATATTGGCTTTGCACCCATGTATTTTGCCCTCGATCCATCCAAATCTCATCCCATTTTTATAATCTTGCCTACCTCCTCCACACTGGTCAACCCCGAGTTTGTTTGGCGACACTTTTACTGGCTCATGTTTATACCACTTTCGATGAGGCTATCGATATTCTGAATACACAAAGACCCTCAGGAAATTTCTCAGGTCCTATATGGTTCATTCAATTATGGCTCACTTCGATTTTTGAAAGTATCATTCCCCCACCATCCAAAGTTTTCCCAAGTTTAAATTTAGAAGGTGCTTGATTATCGTCTCGACATTCTCATCAAAAATCCTCCAATGAGGCTAGTTATCAAACCTATCTGAAATTTTTGTTAACTCGATTTCATTTTGATTCATGTTTGGCCCCTTTTACCGTATACCATGGAAAAGTAAGTGATAGACTTCGAGGGCCAACCTGGTTTAAATCAAAATTCACAGCTCTTACTCCAGGGTTACAATCGGAACTAGTAGATGTATGGAGTAACTATTTGACCCAGGACGTTCTTGTATCGGGCTTTCAATCGAAGGATATCCAACTTGTCATCTATTACCCTCAACTTTTTTCACGGCAGTTCGGTTTAAGTCAAGCTTTACCTTTTTTCAATCTCGATAGTTCCCCAAAGTCCAAGTTAAATGGATCGAATGTAGGACGAGAACTTGTCAAACTATTACCACAAAGCCCGCTGCATTTCTACCCTTATGCTTTTGAATCGAATTACTTGTCTACTCTTGGTTTTTCTCAATGGTGGAACGATTGGTTTTCACGCATTCATTCTGACTTTGATATCGTTCAATCGAAATTGACTGCGCATCCTTCTCTCATGTTGCAGGATAAATCGAAGGCCAAGAAAGGTACATACTCTCATTATCTTCAAATATCTCGATTTGAAAACTTTTATCGAGAATGGTACAACCCTCTTAAATTAGAAGAAACATTTTACAATGTTGTTATATCCCTAGCTAATAAAACAAACACCAACAGATCGAACCACAAAATAATCAATCCTCGAGGAAAAACCCCGTTTGAAATGTATTGTCCCAACCATCTTCCCACTTTTCCTACAGCCCCTTTTGGAATCGCCAAACCTTTAACTCATCCTAAATGGGTTCGAGAGTTGAGATCCTTGAAAGAAACTATTTCACCAAAACCCAAGAACAAGGAAATTTCGATATCGAAACTATCCTACTTCTCTTACCTAAACCTTCCTCAACATCTTTTTCCTCCCTGGCTTGTCCATATTGATCGAGTCAAGATTTTAACTCCATCACCTTTTTGTGAGATTTTATTGCCTCTTTTTGAAATATTTTTAATTTTCTTCAAATTGTAATCTAACTATTTTTCTTTCTCGACAGTTTCGAAGCCTCATAAAGTCACCATCTCTAAGAAAGACCGGGAGTCTTCTGATGAATCGGACCCATCTGCCCCCACACAAAAACGAAAACACTCAGCTACAATTTCCTCATCTTCGAGAAAATCGAAGGTTTCTTTTCGATTCCCTATTATCTTGTTTATTTG